AATAATAAACAATTCTGATATCTTTTTTCTCATTTATTTACATCTATCTAAGAAAGCTATTTCTTCTCTTCCTTTTTGTTCATAAACTTTTTTTTTTTTTTTTTTTTGTCAATTGTCGTTTAATCTTTTATTAGCATACTAAAATATAAGTAAGTTTGATTGAAATGAAACCAAATGCCATACATATAATATTTCTTTCTTTTTAGCTAACAAAAAAAAAAAAAAAAGAAGAAAAGGAAAATTTTCACGATGTATCAATAAAAACAACAAAAAGATATTTTAAGTTTTCTTTTAGTGACAATTAGCGCCTGTCATTTTGAGCTTCACAGGAAAAGTTATATCATTTCTATCTCGAGATCAATTGTTGTATCTTTTTCCATTTTTGTTATTACTTTTAACTATTATTATCTGTTCGATATTAAAATTTGGTTGAAAAGAAAAAATCGATTGGATTGGAGACAGTTGGTGACAATGATTAAATAATGATGAAACAGGATGATGATGATGATGATGATTTACTAGCCAGAATCGACAGTAAAGTTAACCAAGCTGCTGATAGGATTAAACAAAATGGAAAGATGAGCAAATGATGATGATGATGATGATGATGATGATGATGACCTTGGTCAAAAAGGTCATCAACAACCACAAATTGCTATGTTCGCAGCAGAGGCGTAAATGTCGTGATGATGATCCGTTAAATCGAGAAAAATTTTGCACAATATGCTGCTGCTACTGCTACTGCTAATATATATTAGATGGAAAGCAATTCGTAATTAGCGCAGTAAAATGTTAATTTTAAGCGCTCAGTTGCGCCAACTAATTAATTTAGCTTTAGCGCATCGATCAGAACGAATGTCTTTTCGATATTTGTTAATGAGAAAATGTAGGATAATAAATAATAATTAAGAATTTAGGATAGAAAATAACACTATTTGTTTAATTATTTTGGATTAATTAAATTAATACAAAATAATTAAACTTACTTTTCTATTCATTCAAAATGATATTTAGCAATTTTTTGTTATTTTAATTTATATTTAGTAGTAAAATTGAAAAGGTTATTAAGAGGTTTATGATAAGCTCAACATTTTTGTATGAATAGTAAAAATGTAAATAATAAACATTTTACAAAGCTAAAATTTCCTTTGTGGTTTGTCTGACTTAAATTATCAATCTTCGACCGATAAAGCTAAGCTAAGCTTTAACTCTCGAAACTTTTTGTCGGCACAATTAAGAGCTGTCACTTTTTTTTTTCTTCTCTTTCATTTTTCATAAAACATATGCCTGTCCTGTCCTGTCCTGTCCTGTCCTGTCCTATCCTGTCCTATCCTTTCGTTCTTTCCTTTGAAGATGAAATTGCTGACCGAAGAAGAGGAAAAAGATTTATTGTCATCGCTGTGGCGGATGCATTGTTACTTATCGTAGTGGTAATTCTTTCTGTCTGTGGCCTTCCCGTCTCCTACCCTGTCCCCTTCCCGTCCTCTTCCCATCCCCTTCCCGGTCCCTTTCTCGACCCTTCCATTCAATTCCATTTTTGCAGTCTATCCTTTTTCTAATTAATCATCCTTTGTTAAATGAATTTTGATCGAACTCATTTCAGTAAATGACCAAACCAAATTTCAGATTCAAAAAAATGTTTAAGTTTATTTTAGAAATGTGAATTAGCTGAAAAGTAGCAACAGGATAGTTTTTGCAAAAAAAAAAAAAAATCAAAATCAAACAAAAATAGGACAGAAATGATAAATTTCTGCAAAAAAAAAAACAGACTTTCTAGGCTCTTGATGAATTCTAGGCTTTCAAAAGTAAACTTTACTGTCAACGAAAAGCATTTCTCATAAGCAACTTGGCCAATACTTTTACATACACGATAGTATGATAATCATGATGATAATGATAATTATAATGATAACGAATACTGATAATAATGATAATGATAATCATGATGATAACATATTTAGATTGAAATGCAACTTTTTCACTGATTCATTTTTCTCAGTCAGAAAATGTAAAATTGATAGTTGACAAGTTAAAGTTATGTCATTTATTGATTGCTTAGATTATTTCCGGTCCGGTAAAAATTTTTTTAATAAATTTTCATCTCTGAATTGTCCCTTTTGCATTTTAATTTTAACTTTTTTTTTTTCTTTTTTGTTTGTTTATTTGTTTGCTCCTCTGAGCATCACTCCATGTAATTAGGTTACGGTACAATTTTGTCAACCCCCCCCCCACCCACCTCCCCCTTTCTCGTCTCCATGTCAACAACTAATTCCCAATAACCTTGGCCTCATCAGCATTTTCTCTATTCTTACCCAAACACCATGATATTAACAATAACAACAACAACAACAATAATAATAATAATCATTGGTTTCTTTTCAACTGATCCATCCATCCATTCATCTATCTTTGACATTTTACCCACCCAATTATTTTACCCAACCATATATTTATTATAAAATATTTATTTTTTTGTATATGTTTCATATAAATTTGTGTGACAAAATGATAAGTACGTTGACAATCATTTATGACTAATTTTTATTTTTGTTAAACAATTTCATAGCAAAAGTAAACTTTTCTGTTTCATTCAAATTTTTAAATTAAAAAAAAAAAAAATTTTTTTTTCTATTTCTTTTGTAGTTATCAAAAAAAAAAAAAGAGAAAAATGTAAGTGAAAGAAATTTTATTCGTTTTTTTTTTTTTTGATTTAAAATAAACTGACCCTCAAGGACATATGAAATTGCAATGACAATCTTTTCCAGTTTTTGGAAAATTATAAAACGGAAAAAAAAAAAAATTTTTTTTTTTCTTTTTTTCATTCTCTTTTAAATTTCAATTATAAACGTTTTTTACTTTTCTTTTTTTTTTTTTAATTTTTTTTTCTCTTTTTTGTTGTTCTTTTAATAAATGAATGAACAATTTATTTTGTTTTAAAAAAAAAAAAAATTCATTTTTTGCCTTTTTCGAAATAATAAATCTTTTTTTTTTTTTTTTTTTAATGTTATTTTGTAGAATTGAATAAAAATTAAAATTGAAATTTGCATAAAAAAATTTTCATTAAAAGAAAAAAATTAAATTTTAGATTTAAAAAAAAAAAAAGACATTGATAAGAAATAGAACTGCTGTACCTATATAACTGATTGAACTATAATCTAAATTTTGTTATCAATTTTTTGAAACGAAACGAATGGATTAAACGGAAAACCGGTTATTCCGTTGATAAGAGCAATTCTTGTTCAATTCTTAAATTGAAAATTACTTTCCTTTCTGATGTCTTCATATGGTTTTTTTTTTTTTTTTTTAATTACCTTTCCACCTTTCCACCGGAATAAAAATATATTTCTATCATTTTTTTTTTTTTTTAAAATGAAAATTTTATAATAGTAATAATAAAATTTTGTAATTGAAATTAATTTTATTCTTTCAAATGCAAAAAAAAAAAAAAAAAAAATGTAAAATTGAAATTTTTTTATGACAATAATTAACGTTGTCAATGCCACAAAAGGAGAGAGAGAGGGAGAGAGAATGCTTTAGAATGAATTCAACAATTGAATAATTAAATTAAAGAAAATTTCACAAATGATTGAAAAAATTTTTAGCAAAAATTTTAAAATGGGTAAATTTTGGGTTAAAAAATATTTTTGATAATTTTTTTGGATAATTTTGATAATTTTGATAAATTGATAATATTTGTAATGCAAAGATAATTTTGATAATTTTGATAAATTGATAATATTTGTGTAATGCAAACTATCTCAATTGTTCTACCTAAAAAATTAAATTTTTTGTTGAGCAAACTTTTGATCATCATCCATCATCTTCCTGATCGATTTTTACAATCATCATCAATCATCTTCCTGATCAATTTTTACAATCATGATCATTTTCCTGATCAATTTTTTTACAAGAAATTGCTAGAATAAACAATTCCTAATAATAATTTAGGGATTAGATATATATTTTAGCAGTTATGTAAATGAAGACAAAAAATTTAATACTTATAAATTTTAATTTAAAAAAAAAAAAAAAAAAAGAAATATTAAATAGAAATTTGCTTATTTATTTTTTTTCTCATCAAAATGTTATAAAGCAGAAAGAGAAATAATATTGTTTGATAGTAATTTATTATAATTTGTACTAATTTTTTTTTTTGATCTTTTTTGATTTTTCTTTCATACATACACTTTTCATCATTGAAAGATTCATTTTTCTGAACGAAAAGATTAATTTATCAATTTATTTTGCTCTGTTTTTTTTTTTTTTTATTTTGTTTTTATTTTTTTTTTGCCGAACTTAAGAACTTAATTCATTTATTTCTATTTTTTTTTTTTAAATTATAATACTATTTTTAGTAAAATCAAAAAAATTATGCTATGTAGCATAAAATTTTTGTAAATTTGGAACTCCCTAATATTTATTGATAAATTGATAATATCATAAAGTTAATCTTGTAAACAAGATTATTTCAGTGACAGTAATAATCGATGATTAGGTTTAATTGTTTCATTGATTTTTGCTATCAAAATTATCAGTAGTGAAGAAATGATTTCTGATATTGAAGTAATTAAGCTTAGGAACTCTCTGATATTTAGGTATTCATCTATACTACTTACTGATAAGTTGACAAATACCATAAAGTTAATTTTGTAAACAAGATTATTTCAATCGATGATTAGGTTTAATTGTTTCATTGATTTTTGCTATCAAAATTATCAGTAGTGAAGAAATGATTTCTGATATTGAAGTAATTAAGCGTAGATTGTTAACAAAATTTCTCGTTCTCGAGAAAGACTTTCTCGTTCTCGAGAAAAAAGTTCTCGAGAAAGACTATCAGTTTCTCGAGAAGAAAACTTACTTTATTCTATTTTATTTACTTACCTATTCCTGTCCCTTTCTTTGCTCATTTTTCTCCATTTTATAAGTACTTTTGAATGTATAAGAAGAAAAGCATTTATTTATATAAACTGTATTAAATTTAAAAAATTTTTAAAACAAACAATCTCTCTCTCTCTCTCTCTCTCTCTCTCTCCTTCCTTCTTTCTCGATTTCATATTTTTTACTTTCATATCAAGAATGAAATGATATGTTTTTTTTCTTCTTCTCTCTCTCTCTCTCTCTCTTTCTCTTTTTGTGAAGAAGAGATTATTTTACTTTGCTTTTAACTTGTCAATCAATCGAAAATAAGGAGAAGAAAATGTAATTATAAATGCTTGCAAGAAGGGAAGGACTGGCAGATAAACGATGTTTAGAAAATATTTTAGAATCGATAGTTTGACAAATAAATAATTATCCAATAAAATTTGTCCAATAGTAGAAATACTATCCGTTAATAATATAATTAATCATATCTTCTTTCCTTTTCCTTATCAGTGAGCCATTATCATTGATCATAAATTATCATCCAATAAGGATTGTCTCTTATCACAGATATCATAGAGTTTTCCGTTTTGTATCAGTACCACAATTTGTCTCTGATATTGAATAAATTAAATTTTAGTACATTTAATTATCTTATTAATTAGTGACATTCCCTTTCCTTAACAATTTTTACTAAAATTATCAGTGAGCCATTATCATTGATCATAAATTATCATCCAATAGGGATTGTCTCTTATCACAGATATCATAGAGTTTTCCGTTTTGTATCAATACCACAATTTGTCTCTGATATTGAATAAATTAAATTTTAGTATTTAATTATCTTATTAATTAATGACACTTTGATCATTTCATATTTTAATTTTTCGAATTAGCATTTTATCATCGCTTACACCGATTGATTTCTAATAGTGTCACCACTAAAAATTTGAGAAAAATGCCAAATTGATAGGAAGTATTTATGCTTATCGAATGAATAAAACAAAAATTTAAATGACGTAAATGACGCATTGCAAAAGTTTACGTATGTATATCTATGTATGCGTGTAAAATTTATAGTATTTACGTGTGATGCTTTAGGTATATGAATTGTCATTAGAGGTACACGTAAACGGAAATAATTATATATTAAACAAGTATAACTCAAAAGTGTAATATAAATGATTAACGTAAGCGTAAGCGAACGTAAAGAAGTGAGTAAAAGTAATAAAGTAATGTATGTATAAAGTATAAATAGAAAATTTCTGATTGAAAGTATATGTTTAACATAAAAATTTTGAATTTTAAAGCACTTTTTTTTTTTTTGTTTTTAAATTTTAAAAGTATTATTTTATTACTTTAGCTTAAATGAATCAATCGTGTAGAAGCTTTGATTATTTTATAGCTAAATTAATTAGCTGTTTGAGCCGTTAACTGATAATTCTATAGATTTACTCGGTTGCACCTCCCTCCAGAATCAAACCACTTTTGCACCAAACAACCTTTGCACCAAACACTTCCGCTCCAGTCAGTCCACCAGCAGCACCACCAATTTCAATTAACCCTCTCATCCCGAATCCAATCTCTCGACTAGTAGTGTCTCTCTGCTACCACTGTGACAACGAGTCACTCACCCCGAGTTCTGCTTCCCTTCGTTAGCTAAACTAACCAAGCACACTTCGTTAGACATTGTCCCTTCCTTATAAACTGTCTGTCAATTTTGCTGCTTCTGCTTCTACGTCAAATCTAAACTTGCTCAATCATCTGTCAACTTCTGCATAAATATGTACATGTATGTGTGTATGTGTGTGTGTGTGTGTGTGTGTGTATGTGTATGTATGTGTCATGCTTGTCCACAATTTTATCTGTGGTCACTTTAGGAGTAGGATGTGACCATGTGTAGTTATGAGGGAGAATGATTGCTTTTTTCGCATTTCACAATCACAGCCCAAGCCAGTCTTGACTGTCCTTTGCTGAAGTTATCGCCTGTCCAAGTTGTCACCTGTCCCAGTTGTCGCCTGTCCCGTCCATGTCACATGTCTACAATGACACTACATTGTCTCCTGTGTTTATCTAGCGTCTTTTCTTGCCTGAAAATCAAAACGTTACACTCACTGTGACAAGTGGTAGAATGGATGACCGAAGATCGAGAATCTCTTTTTTAAGTCTCTTCTGAAAACGAATGAATGAATGAATGTCACATCATTATGGCTAGCTCTGTCACCTTCTCTCTTCTCTTTTCCCGCTCATTCGTTCAAGCAAACTGTTCAATTTCACTTTTTTTTTTTTGATTGACATTTTTCAATTTTCTTTTTCAAAATTTGCTCTAATTTTTTTGTTTGAAATCAAGAGAGACAGATAAAAATGATAGCTAATGTTAGGTTCAATTTCAATTAAAATTCAAAGAATAGAAAATGTTTCATTCTCAATTTCATCGTTACTTCACAGCTGTGACAATTGCACATCCTATTCATTGGCTAACTTGTCACATGATACACTCCAATTTCTTTCTGATTAAATGTTAATATGTCAAATTAACTAGTACCATCACTTATAAATTTCAAATTTAAAATTACAAATTAAAAAAAAAAAAAAGAAAATGCAATTTGTATTTGCCATCTTTTTACTTTTCTTATTTCATTTCTTGTTCGTTCGATTGCACACTTTTAACCATCCATGATGTAAAAAATTTAGAGCTTTTACTCAAAAAAATTTATTGCAACAATAATTTTATGCAAATATAAAGCCATATGAAGAAAGGATGTGACACTATAATGTGACAATAAATTTGAGGACATTAGGCATTAGTAAAAAATAACTTTAGGAAAATGCATTCAATACTTTCGTTTCATTTTTGTAAGAGACAGTTGAAATTTAATTGATTAATTAGTTACTGTTAGCAGCGGAGAACCTTTTTTTTTTTTTTTTTTTTTTTTTCATTTTTAAATTTTTCATTTCGTTTCTTTTAACTAATTGTTGAATTTGAAAAAAAAAAAATACTCTCAAATGACAACTTATGATGACATCTAATTTTTTCCGCCATAAATCTCACTCACTTTTTTTTTATAAATCTTTATTATATGTTATCGCAAAATATTTGCATCAATTTTTGTCTGAAAATTTTATTTTGCAAAATTTTTTCGGATGCAAAAACTCTTTAATGTGACATTAGTAAATGTCACATTAGCAGTGAATTTACAAAAATAGACAATAGCTAAATGAGAAAAAATTAAAATGTGTGTGTCATTTTATTTTTTTCATTTTGTTTTTGAGCAAAATGAAGTATTGCAAAAAAAAATGGTTGACACAATTGTGTCACATATTTTAGTGTCATTTCTTCAGAAACATTCATTCTTACTATCTGATACCAATGAAATGAAAAAAAAAAAAAAAAAAAAAAAAAAATGAAAATAGTCTAAATATTTGAATCATTTTGCTAGAAATACTTTCTTCACTTTTTTTTTTTTTTTTTTTTTTTGTTTGTCTCTTTTTGGTTTTATTTATTCTGGATGAATGATTCTATATATGGTCAGTTGACATCATGTGACATGTGACAAACGAACGGTTTGTCATTCTCTTGACCATCAACCAGTAGTAGCAGCAACATACATATGTCTTTGTAAAAAGTTGTAAAGTCAAGAAATATGGTATGAAATGAAAGACATTTATTCATTTGTCCTTTCTTTTTTTTGATATTCTGTGACAGGATGTAATCATCGGATGACTAATTCGTATAGCATAGTCGAGAATTGAGATGTGACATGCTAATTTCACTATACTTTGAGAATTTTTCCTCTGAGACAGAACAATAATATATATATTTGCTTATTGCTATCGGTTTAAAAAAAAAAAAAATGAAAGGAAAGTATTGGAGAAAGGGAGAGGACAGAACCGCCCAAGGAAGGCAAATGAAAGATGTATGTCTAGACATCTCCGCCCACATACTTCTTCTGCTTCTTGTCCAATCTCGGATTTATATTATTATTACACTCGATAATAAATTCAGCAATAAATGTATGCAACCTCCTCGTTCATATCCATTTTTTTTCTATATGCATTATATTAATGAAATGATAGGCTTTGTGAGCACTGTACCGTACCGCCAATCTCGAGATTTGAGCTCTTTTGTCCTGCTGAAATTTTTTTTTTTTGCTGAAATTGATTTTAGTTAATCAAATTTCAAAATTTGAAAAGTTTTCCGGATGGAAACCTTCTGTTAGTATCATTGTAAAAGCATTGATAATTTGATTAGTGTAATCTTAGCTTGAATCGATAATATAAATTTTTACACTTTTGGATTTTCCTAGAAACAATTTATTTTCCGGTTTCATCGAGAATCTTTTTTTTTTTTTTTTTTTTTTGTCTGAATTATAATGATATGAAATTTTTCAAATATTTTATGAAAAATATTTTGAGATTTTAAAATGGAAAATTTTAAAGTCGATGAAAACATCGATTTAAATTCATACTTTTAGAATAAGTTTTGAATTTTTCATTCTTAGTGCTTATATAGGGTCGGGTATTTGTTTTTTTTCTTTTTAATCAGATATTGATTAGTGATTTTGATATCAGATATCAGATATTAGATATTGATTAGTGATTTTGGTATCAGATATTAGATATTGATTAGTGATTTTGGTATCAGATATTAGATATTGATTAGTGATTTTGGTATCAGATATTAGATATTGATTAGTGATTTTGGTATCAGATATTAGATATTGATTTTTTTTTATAACTTAGACAAGACGGAGACTTTCATCTCTTTTCTCTCTCTCTCTCTCTCTCTCTCCCTCTCATTCAATTTACTTTTCTATCTTGCTTAAAAAGCAATAATAATTTGAATTTTTACAGTGTTATCAGAATTTTTATGTTATATATTTAATTAACAAACATTTTTATATTATATTTAATTAAGAAATTTTTTTTTTTTATTTAAATTTTTTTTATATTTAATTAACAAACATTTTTATATTATATTTAATTTTTTGTAAATATATATTTATTTAATTAATAAAATTTTTATATTATTATTTAATTAATAAATTATTCATATGCTCAAATTTGTTTATCATTAGAAAAATTAAACTAATGATTATTTTAAAGAAATTACATTCATTAATATTTTTCACTCTTCAATACATCGATTTCTTTTTTTTTTGTTTCATTTTGCATTTTAAAAACAAAAAATTGATCTTTGATCATATGCATATTAGTAATAATAATAGCTTTAAAAGCTTTTTGTAGATAGCTATTTGCTTGCATCATTAAATTTCACAGAAATTAATGATTAATCTAAAAAAAAGAGCGATCCATTATGATTGATTTTTTGATCAGTTTCAATTGATTGATCATTGTAATATCATCAGATCACTAAATATCGATTATTACTGATCATCCATAGGGATAGTTGAGGAAATGGATGGAATATTATAAAGCAGAAAATTGATCAATTCAATTCATAATTAAAATTAAGTATTACTTATTAGAAAAGTAAGAAAGAGTAATATGCATCCCTTTTTACTTGTTTAGTATTTATTAAATACAATTAGAAAATCTCTATTGATTGCTTAATAATTCCCTGTTTATGTTAGCATTTTAATGATATGGTGACACAGAGAGAGAGAGGGAGGGAGGGAGGGAGAGAGAGAGAGAGTAAAGTAATTAGTAGTAATATCGAGTTAATAATATTGGATATCTCTCGAAACAAAGAGGAAATGATTCTTACTTAATAGATAAATTTTTTTTTTTTTTGATGGTAATTGTTAATTAGCGCAATTGTCCTTTACTTGGCAAAATCACTTCATCATTACTAGTAATATATTATTATCATTAGTAATTATGCAAGTTACTGATAAGTAGTAAAGTTTGACATTTGAATATAATTAATTTTCTAATCGTTAAAGATGTCAATAAGCGCAATTGTCCTTTACTTGACAAAATCACTTCATCATTACTAGTAATATATTATTATCATTAGTAATTATGCAAGTACTGATAAATGGTAAAGTTTGACATTTGAATATAATTAATTTTCTAATCGTTAATGAAATCTTTTTACTATTGCTAATTCTACTTGTCCGATTAATTTAGTATAAATTTAATATATAAAAATTTTAATATAAATTTAATTAATATATTTATTTAATTATCAAATTAATTAATTTATTTTTGATAAAAGATAAACATTAAGTTATTTTTTACTTATATATTTTTTTGGAACATTAGTAATTTGCATTGATGAAATGAATCTGAGTAAACTTTTGATTACTTTCATATTTGTACTATATTAAGAGAGGGAGAGAGAGAGAGAGAGAGAGAGAGAGGGATTACTCTCGCAATTTCTTTGCATTTTTCTTTTTTGGCATATTTTTTGTTATTAGTTTATACTAAATATTTTATCAATAATTTTTTTTCAAGTAAAAAAGTTAAAAAAAAAAAAAAGAAAAAGAAAAATATTATATTATAAGGTAATTAGTAAAAATTCAGAAAATTTTAATTTTTTATTCCTTTTTATAGATTGGAAAAAAAAATTTAAATTTTAGGATTAATTTAAAAATTTTTTTACTTT